TGAGCCTTGTCCTAGGTTGCTCTTAGGTTTGGATCTTCTGCATTCATCATCATCCCAAGCATCTCTGATGCAGGTGGGGTGAGGAGGCAGCCAGTCTTGGGGTAGGAAGCATGTGACTGTCAAGAAATCCCTCAGTGTGTTACTCACCACACTCCACTGGCTCTACACCAGTGTTCATCACGGCAGTGCTGGTTCCTCGCCTCATCTTCACAGACTCCCTCTTGCACCAGGCTGGGAAGAGCAATTACTTAACCTGGGACTGTGACAGTCTGGTACCGAGGGGCCCTGCAGGGCTCTGCTCTAATGGCCAAAAGGTCAGGCAAAAACATAAAGCACACAGGAGAGAGGAAAGGGTCAGAAAGTCCCTGACTTTCAGATCTCATGGCTGCTATAGCTGTTAATCACCAAAGGAGGGGTGAGGGTTGAAGCTGATGGTACCTACTTAGTGGGATTCAGCACTGCAGATCAGCTTGCACAGACCAAGATCAGTCAAAGCAAAACCAGCTGAATCTGGCAGCAGTCTTCAGGATTCCTCTGGTGTCCACAGATTCTCATGCTCAGGAAATACTGGTTAGGGACTATTTCTCCATTTACCTACTATCTCCAAGAGCACAACATTATAAGAAAGAGTTACTTGGTTTTCCAACACAAGGAAGACAAGGATATACTGGAGAGAGTCTGGCAAGGGGCCACAATGATGATTAAGGGACTTGGAGCATCTGTCATACAAGGAAAGGCTGAAAGAACTGGGACTGTTTAGCATCAAGACAAGAAGGCTTGAGAGGGATGTTACGAATGTGAATAAAATCCTATGGGGGGACACTAAAGAAAGCATAGACTGACTGTTCTCAGTGATATCCTGTGAAATTGGATTCAATGGGCATAAGATAACACATAGAAAATCCCTTTAGAGGGACACAAGACAAAACTGTGAGGGTAGTCAAACACTGGAACACATTATCCAGAACAGTTGTAGTGTCCACCCTTGCACATACTAAAAACCTGACAGACATGGCCAGGGAAGACAGACTAGCTGATCTCTGAGATCCTTCCAACCCAGTGACTCTGTGAAAAAGACCACAGCAACCTCCTCAACTTCTCCCAACCAGCCCAGCCTCAGGGAACCCATCCAGAACACCACCATGGAGCTGATACCCTCCCTTGCTCACTGTTTTTGATAGTCTTTTGGTTTATGCTGGTCCTTTTGCTCTATGACAACAGTATCCTCTCCAGAGCTCACACAGACATGTCATTTCTGGCTCATCCTTACCACATGCTCCTCCAGCTCTCATTGGTTCCATCACTGCCCTGAGCATGAACCTTCAGCCATGGTTTTCCTACAACCCATCACTGGGCTTGCAGCAGCCACAGGAGCAGGAACCAAAGGATGCCAAATGTCTTTACCTCTCTGCGTCTTTCTTGCATCACGTTTACAACATTTTTGGTTCTTTTCTTGATCTTCTGTGATAAATGAATTGAAAACACATTTTTGCTAGCAAGAGAACTCAGGAGGCGGCAAAGGCAACAGCCCTCAGGAACACCCATCGCTGGCATTGGGTTTTGTTTCCTGCCAGCCACCTTCATGGTTTTCTCAGAGCTGCCCAGCTCTTCATTTGCCATTACAGCCTCTTCAGGTTACCCACCAGCCATGCCTACCCCAGTTTTCTTTGCAAGAGCCAAGAGCTACCACTCACTGTGAGAGCACACGAGGCGGGAGAGCTGCCCCATTCTCAGTTCCTAGAGGAGCCAGCTGGATGATCACTGCTGGCAACTCCAAAGCCTGGCTGCCTCTGAGGAGACGCAGGTGCTGTTTGGTGCACCAGGTTCCTCCCAAATCAGTGATAGCATCAGGAACAGTCATTTCTCCTCCTTCATCCAGCAGGAACCAGCACGCCTCTGACTGGCTGCTGAGCCACCGCTCGAGGGTGGGAGAGATTCTGTTCTCTGCTGTTCTTCACACCTTTCTCACTTCCCTCTTTCAGCTCAGGACCAAAACTCAGCACAGACTTCAGACCAGCTTTGTCAGAGGAGATGCCAGTGCTGATAAATGTGAAGCCCTATGAATGAGAATATTCAACCTTTCTGTCTAAACCCAGTGCATACTTTAAGTCACAAAGGCTCTGGAAGAAGGCCACCTCCTTTTGGTAGCTCCCAGCCACTCAACAGACTTTGTTGAGTGTAGAAAGGGTGTGTGCCATGTAGGGCAAACACTGGCAGCCCTGGCATACCTCTGACAATGCCACAAGCCACATTCAGTCACTGCTGTGGCAGAAAATGCAGCCAGTTCTCCTTTGGGCTCCAGAGAGAGCACAGGTACCTTCTGCAGTGAACTGGGCATGGGGAAATGAGGGTGGGACAGACTGAGGGAGTAACATCTTCCTCTTTCAACAATATGTGGTTAAGTTCAGCTCAGGACGTAGCACTGAACCTTCCTGAGGGGCCAGGGCCACCCAAAGCCAATGCAAGGGCTGGCTGGTACAGAAAGGAGACTCATGGCCATGGCCCCATCTGAACAGGCACTGTCACCACCTCCCTGAAGCCAGCTCCAGTGTCAATGTGACTGGGCAGGGACTCGGATCAGAGAACAGACAAGAACAGTATTTCTATTGTGGTGTCTTTCAGCTGGATCAAGTCTTGAGGAAGCTGCATACCTGCACACAAGGGAAAGGCCACCTGTACACATGGAGAAGGCCTGCACAGAGCCATGACAGACACACACAGAGCTTCCTTCTTCTGTGTGCCAGGTACCTGTGATCTACTGTGATGTGTGCCAAGTACCTGTGATCCCATAAATTTCATCAATTTGGTTATTAACTCTCATTTGACATATTTATTAACTCTGGCTTATAGCCCTTATTAGGTACCATCTCTGAAGTAAAGGAAAACATGCCAGAGTGAATACACTCAGCACTTGCCCTCTTTCTTGCCTTCTTCCTGAAGGTTTGCTCAGGAGAAAGGAGGCCAGGCTGTGTAGACAACTGGTCTTTGCAAAGTTTTCACTGGTACATGAGCCAAGGGTCAGAAGGCCACATCTGCGGGACTGCAGGCACGGATCTGAGAACAGTGGAACTTGCTCAGACTTTAGCAGGGAAAGACAAATTTCCGAGATGATGACAGGAAAGCAAAGTTATGGTGTTTGCAGAAGTGATTCCCCCCTGTCTTTGCTTAGCCGAGTTTGTCACATCTCATGATACACTTTGCCTCAAACAATTCCCAAATTCCTAGTTAGATGTGCAAATATTTAGCAATTTGTGAAACTACAAACATTCACCTATTCCTGTAAATGATCTTGTAGGTGGCAAAACTGCAAAACAAAAGGACTCCCACATTCCAAAACTAACAAAAGAAGTGCTTCAGTGGCACGGGAAAATCCCTGGCCTCACTCTTGTAGCATGAAGAGGGCAACTTTTGCTCCTACTTTCCTGTCTGTCCATGTAATAATGACAATCAGGAAATCAACAGAAACATCACAGATTTTTTAATTTATTCGGACATGAGAAACCAAAAGACAGTGCCAGATCTGTGCGCAAAATGTCCTTTTGCACAGAATCTTTTGCTTACAGAACATTGCTCTATATGCAACTGGTGGGCAGGTTCTGCTCAGGGCTCTGCTTTTTGCCCCTCGGATTCCCTGGAGGGTATGCATGGAAAACCTGGGATGGGCACTGCCAGCCTTGCATACAAGCAAAGCAGGCTGGTCCTGAGGAAACTGGAGGACAAACATAAGCTGACCTGAGAAAGGTTGTGCTGTGCTGCTAATGGCTTCAGCCCAGTCACTGCACAGAGACACTCCCGGAGACGCTGCCATACCCATATCCTCCAAATGACAACAGGGCACAGCCAGTGAGGGAAGGACTGAGGGGGTCATGGCAGTGCCATGTGCCAGTGCCAGTTCTTGCTTTGGCGCACAAGCAGTCCTGAGGTGGGAATCCAACTGTCACCCCAACTGTCAGGGCCCTGAAAACAACTAAAGCCAACAGAACTTCTCAGCATCATGACAGAAAGTCCATGACCTTTGGGTCTGGACTACTGACCCTAACCCTGCTGGGGCTCCCTGAGCCATGCCACATGTATGGTAGCAAGGTATCTGCAGCCAGCTGGGAAACGGCTGCAACAAGAGGGGAGAAGAGAAGGAGAAGACTCCACAGAGACCTTAGAGCATCTTCCAGTACCTAAAGGGGATCTAAGAGAGCTGCAGAGAGACTTCAGACAGGGGCATGGAGTGACAGGACAAGGAGGAATGGCTCTGAACTGAGGAAGGGTAGGTTTAGATTAGATATTAGAAAGAAATTCTTTCCCATGAGGAAAAGAGGGTGGTAAGGGTGATGAGGCCCTGGCACAGGTTGCCCAAAAAAGCTGTGGCTGCTCCATCCCTGGAAGGGTTCAAGACTAGGTTGGATGGGGCTTGGAGCAACCTGGGATAGTGGAACGTGTCCCTGCCCATGGTAAGCAGGGTGTAATGGGATGATCTTTAGAGTACATTCCTACCCAAACCATGTTGTGATTCTATGATTCTGTACCTGAATTACCTCTTCCATAACATGAAGCCATAAGATGTTCAGTGAAAGGAAATGAAAGGGAGCGGAAGGGGGAGAGAGAGGAGGGAGTGTATCTTGCCCAGCATCTGGCCCTCGTGAGTGACTGGCAGGGGCTGCCTCACCGCAGCCACTGACTTCTGCTGCTGTTTAGCGATTGTGAAAACCCAAGTGTCTGGAGCAGCCCGCAGCTCGCCACGCACCTGAGCCCTGCTCATGGCTACGACTGCGGGTACCACAGGCTCTGCCTGCCCGAGCGGGGCCGGGCAGGCGGCTCCTCCTCCGACCCCCAGCAGCCTCAGCCGGGGCACCTGCCCGGGCACAGGGCACAGCGATGCCGAGGGGTCCCCAGGAGCAGCGCCGTGTGGGCCGCGAGGGCCCCCCCAGCACTGCCGGCACCCCCCGGGACATCCCCGGGCCGCCCCCGCCCGCCCGGCGCGGCCCCGGCCCCGGCCCCGCTCCTACCTCCAGCAGCTGGACGTAGCTGGCCGGGAACCAGCCTCGCAGCCCGTCCTCCTTCTGTCCTTCCCACCAGCCGCCGTCTGGCACCTGCAGCACCGTGATCAGCTCCCCCGCGGCGAAGCGCAGCCCTTGCCGGTGCCGCTCCCCGGAGAAGGGGTACAGCGCCTGGCAGCGGGTCCCCGACATCCCGCCGGGACGCGCCCGTCGCCCGCACCCCGCAGGGCTGCGGGAGGGCCCGGCCACTCCTCTCCGTGGGCCCCGCTCCGCCCGGGGCCGCGGGCAGTGGGAGCGGAGCAGCCCCGGCGCCCACGGGCACCGCCGGCTCGGGGTGGGGCGGGAGAGGCGGGACGGGAGGAGGAGGAGAGGGGGAGGAGGAGAGAGGGAGGAGGGGGAGGAGGGGTGAGGGGGAGGAAGCAGGGGGCGGAGAGGCGGTGCGGGTGGGCAGAGCGATCCGCGGGTGTGACATTCGTGTCGGCGGGACGGAGAGAGAAACCCTGGGTGATCCTGAGAGACAAGGGGGAGACACCGTGTGTGTGCCAGTGCACGGGAAAAACCTCGTGCGTCTGTGTCTGTGTGTGACAGACACTGTCCGAGGGCCACTCTGTGTGCCACCTGTGCTTATGTGAGGGCCACTGTGTGTGAGGGACACTGTGTGTGAGGGACAGACGCTCTTCCCCGTGGGTGCGTTGGTGATACCCACGTGTCTGTGAGAGGCACCCGTGTGTATGATAGTCACCATGCCTGTAACAGCAAGACACCCGCGTATCCACCAAAGGTGCCATGTGAGACACTGTCTGAAGCGCGAGACACTGTGTGTCCATCTCCTCTCTGTGAGAGATGGTGTGGGAGGCACCATGTGTCTGTAACACCGGCAGTTATGACCCCCTGTGCCTGAGACTGATTGCATTTGTGGAGACTCATGTCTTTGTGAGACATGTCTGTATGTCTGAGACACTGTGCATTTGTTACACACACCCAAGGGTGTGAAATCCATTTTGCCTGAAAGACATTGTGTGACACACTCAAGCATGTAGGAAGTGTGTGTGTGACACATCCTCAAGTGCGTGTGTCTTTGCAACACTCGGTTGAGTGCACAACTTGCTTCATGCGTACATCTGACTGCAGCACATGAGTGAGACACCTCTATGTGGCACTCAGGTCGGTGGGACACTTCTGTGTCTGTGAGAAATGCACTGCCAGAGTGCGTATGACACCCTCATCTGGGTGACACTTCTACGTACGTGTGTGTAAGTCACCACCCTCTGTGTATTTTGTTTATGAACACCCACTCTGTGCACAGCCTGCTCTGAGTGTGCCTGACTGCCTCACTCTGCAGCGTGTGTGTGACTTGTGTGTTTGTCTGGGTAAGTCACATCTGTCTGCATACACATCCTGATTTTACTCTTTGCCAGTCCCATGTTTGGGTGTGTATGAACACGTGTGTATGTCTGTCCAGGTATGCGAACCTGACTCAATGCATGTATGTAACCTATACCTGTACAAGCACACTCAGGATGTGTGTGTATGAAGCCCAGGCAGACATGTGTGTGTGGCCTGCTGCAGGGTGGGCTGCCTGACCCACTACACTTCCTTGTGTGTCTAAAAGAACATATGTACACTGTGAGACTTACCCACAGAGTTCTTGAGCTCTGCATGTGTGCAGAGGCATACCTGCAAGGCAGAGTACACGTACCTGAGTGCCTGTGCTACATCTGGTGTGTTGTTGATGGGATATGTACCTGTGCCTTTGTGTATGAGAGTCTCACAAAACTGTATGCGAGAAACTCAACCTTGTATAAAAGTGTAGAGATGTCTGCTTGTGCAGGAGACACCCGTGTGCATGTGAGAGACTCATCTGTGACTGCAACTCACAGGGGTGCATATAAGCACACACCTTGAGGTTCAGCTGCCTGTGCTATCTACGTGTGGCTTTCCCAGAATGGGTAGAATTTGCTCACACAGGAGACTGACCTCTACGTGTGCTTATGGGACAGCCATGTGAAATCCACCTCCACGTGCATGTCTGTGTGGTTGTGTGTGAGCTGCACGTGTGTGTCTGTGTACACCTGTGCATGAGACGCCCCTGAGCTGTAAGAATCAGTGACTGGTGTGACTCACTGCACCACAAGTGTGTATGAGGGTCTTATCCATGTTAGTGCAACCTGCTGCACAGTGACCTGCACACATGGAACCCATCAGTAGTATGTGTGGCACGTGGAGGACAGGAGAGTCTTGCTTCCGCATGTGCAAGAGTCACACCAGCATACATGTGGCAGGGATGGATCTGCCTGTCTGACAGCCTGCCACCCACCATCCTTTTGTAGTTAGTTGATGGAGAGGGGAACAAACCTTATGTTGAGTTCCGACATCAGTGAGATGAATGGGTCCTTCTCCCTGCTGAGTGGTGGGAGCCAGCCATGCCCAACCCTCCTCTGAGGCTCACTCTAGATTGCCTCCAGGCACTGTGTGTCTGTGGAGGAGCAGGAAAACACGTGTCTTCTTCCAGTGCATTTATGACACTCTTTGGAGCATCACAAGTGTGTGAGCACTGAACTTGGTGTGCTTGTGTTTGAGAACCTTGTTGGTCTGCAGGAGAGACTGACTGCAGTGCAGGGGCTGTGACTGACTCCAGAATGCACACACATACGTGTAGGATGATACTTGTCTGTGTACACATCACTCACTTCACTGTGTGTGTGACACAGTCCACTGGAAATGTGACGAAACCTAACAATAGGTGCAGCTCATGAAACTTGGGATGCATCATTTGCCTCAGTCCATAGTGTGCATGTCCCAACAACAGCAGGCACTTCTCTGCAGGAGAAGTGGGGAGATGTTCTTCTCTGGAGAGATCCTCCATTTGACAGTGTGCTCCTGTATAAGCCGCAGGGTATTCCTGCACGCTGCTCCGGACAACATGAGGTCTGTGCCAGGGATTCTCCCTATATACAGTACAAAACAGTCTCCATATTCCATCACAGAAACCATTCAGTTGTTGTCCTGGTCTACTACACAAGAGTGCCCATTTGTATGCTGCACTTTTGAGTGTGCAGCTGTTCATGTGACTGCAACCTGTGTGTGATGCTCCTTGCCCATCTGTAACTCCGTCACCTTACACGTGTCCATGATCTACTGCAGTGTGTGGCAGTCAGTTGTTCAGTTGTTCACCTGCCTGTGGCTGTCTGTGTCTGTGCAACTCTCTTCATGGAGCAGGTGCTTGGGTAGGTGCTGTGGTGTTGTGCTGGGAGATCAGTCCCTTTCACAGACCCCATCTGGCCACTAACTGCTGTATGGCCTGTCCTGTTCTCCTGTTCCTAAGATTCAGATTTCTTTCTCTCTCTTTTTTTTTTTTTTTTTTTTTTTTTTAAATGGAGGAAGAGCCTCCAGTTTCTCCTTTTGATTTGTTCTTGCTTTGCAATCACTAATGAGGTGTGAGTTCGGAACAATTACGATTTTTGTGCCCACAATGTATTATCATGTGTGTATATCCTGGCTTGGGGCTGTACAGGCTTTTTATTTATGTAACATTTTCATAAAGTATTTTATCTCTATCTCTTCCTGGAATTTTAGAAATTCACAATACCTGTCTCTCTGAAATGAGCACTCAGGTAGCCTGACTGTAGCCTTTCTCCTGGACCTTTCAAAAGGTGACTTTCAATGTAGCTGTCCTTCATTTAGACAGCAGCAATCTGAGCTGAGCTCTTCAGTGTTTTTTCTTTCAACAATTTTCAGACAACTTTCCACAGTTCTATTTTTGATTCTCTGAATTGTGGTAAATTGTTTAAATCATCCCCTTTTGTTTAAATCATCCCCTTTTCATAAGCATTTAAGCTGATAACTGCTGATCTATGATCCATTATGTGGTATTATCATACCAGCTGTGCTTTGCTTGGCAAAACCCCACAGACCTGATATCATGGCACACATCCAGGTACATCTATCAGCAGTATTCTCTAATAATGCCCTTTATAGAAGGCGAGAACTGAAATCAAAACAAAATCCCATGTTTTTCTTCAGCATATACAAACCCAGCTTTTCTATATTGCAACTCGAATTCAAATAGTTTAGAGCTTTCATGTAAAATAATGAAGTTTAGTTTAAATTTTGCTTTTCTTATGTTTGATGTTAACAGAATACTTCAATGATGTTTTCTTCGGTTTATTCTCTGACATTTTTTTCCTCTACTTCCAACTTGTTGGTTTTTCTTACTGTCTCCCTTTCTGATATCTTTGCAGGCTCCTGTCCTGCTTTACTTGAACTTTCTTGATGAGACAGCCTCTAGCAGGGTTGCAGTCCTAGGGTTGTCCACTTCCTGATGCAACTACAAACTTCAGCTTTTCAGTAGGCAAGCCCAAATGTAAACACTAACTTAACTTTTATTTTAAAATTTCTTTCTAAACTACAACTTCACTTTGGTTTTTGTATGAATGTCCAGTTTGTAGGAAGAAGGGCTCTGTTTCTGTCAGAGGATGTCTTTTAGCCACTGGAGGTAAATATCTCTTTAACAGGTCCTCATTTCATTGTGCAGATAATTACAACTGTTGGTTTCTCTTGAGTCATGTCTGGTCCTTCTCCTCAACTTGCAGGATGGCTTTACTTCCTGCACAGAGAGCAGCTCTTGCCAAAGGCTTGGATCTGTGTTTGCTTCTGCAACATGTAATGTCTGTATCGTGAAGATGTTAAAGGGGGACAAGTTTGCTATCTATGAGGAAAATTATTTCTGAGTGTAGGCAGCTTTTTTATCTAGCATAAGATACCAGAGCCAGAGTCAAGATAGGATGCAGAAGGAACATGCAGATTTACCACTTTAAAGGTACCAGGCACTGGGATGAACTGGTCTGCTTCTGGTCTCAGCCTTGTTTCCTACCTTCTGTTTCAGCTCAGCTAAAGCATCTCAGTGGGATGCAGATGTTCCCTGGGCAGTACAGAGCAGGTCTGACTGGATATTCAAAACAATCCCTCTGACTGCAAGATCTTTCTGAATTTATTTCCTGAGCCATCACAACTGTCATACTCACTCTGCCATCTGTTCTAGGAGGGTATTCCACTTTTCAATTAGAAACCAGTTCTAAATTATTATCACCTGAACATATTCTGTTTTAGGGTGAGATCTTGAAAGGGCCATTTTCTTCCTGTCTATCACCAAAGAGCCCTGGGTGAAGATCTCAGTCTTGGCCATCTAACTTTTTAACAAACCTTAGTGTCAGGAAATGCTATCATCTGTGAATGAGAAAGAACCAACTTTATATAACACTGCAGAGAGCCTCTGCTATGGTCATCCAGTCAAAGAG